AGTTCCACTCTGTCCTCTAGGGGCGCTGTGGGTCAGAATGGACTCCATGGCAGTGGGTGTGGTTTGGGCTTTGCTTCTGTGAAGACTGACAGCCTGGGAGACCCTGTGGGCAGTTCCACTCTGTCCTCTAGGGGCGCTGTGGGTCGGAATGGACTCCAGGCAGTGAGTGTGGTTTGGGCTTTGCTTCTGTGAAGACTGACAGCAGACCCTGTGGGCGGTTCCACTCTGTCCTCTAGGGGCGTTGTGGGTCAGAATGGACTCCAGGGCAGTGGGTGTGGTTTGGGTTTTGCTTCCGTGAAGACTGACAGCCTTGGAGACACTGTGGGCAGTTCCACTCTCCCCTAGGGGCGCTGTGAGTTGGAATGGCTCCATGGCAATGGGTGAGGTTTTTGCATTTGTGGCGAGGGTGTGGAAGTGACTAACGAGGCTGGTTTCTACATGCAAAATTAAATCAAGAAAACTTCCTATTTTCAGAGAAATCTTACTAGCATCCCACTCTTTGCCATTAAACAAAATTTGGAAACTCAGTCTGAACTAAATAAGCAAACGTAGCATTCTGCAAGCCTTACGGTCTGTAAGAATTAAAACAAGCTTTGAGAGTTTTCCTGGGGTGAAGTCCCCTGGGAAGTCACCTTCCAGTGTGAGAGTCCAGGCATCCACTTCAGGCCCGACAGCTCCGAGGACACGTCCACCAGCTCCAAGGCACCTTGGAAGCAAAGACACAGAAACCGCCACTGACAAGGGACTGACAGGACAGCTTGCGGACACCACACTGAGAGATTCCCACCACAGCGACACCCGAGGAGGCAGGCCCGTCAACGCCAGCCTGTGGGACGTGGGGTGATTAGGGTGGTCTGAGACGCTGGGACGCCACCACCCATGATCCACTCAGGAAGGCTTTGGAGAGCCTGGGAGCTCCTCGAGCCAGGCCTCGGCGCCTGCCCACTGCCTCATGCCCACAGCACACGGAGCAGTGCAGGCTTTATGCCTTTGTTTCCAGCAAACGTCACAGCATCATGTTGCTGTTGCTGTTACGTGCCGTCGGATTGGCCCCAACTCATAGCGACCCCTCCTTGGGTTTCCGAGGCAGTATCGCTATGAAAGTAGATTGCCCCATCTTCCTTCTGAAGAGTGGTTTGGTGGGTTGGAACTAGCAGCCTTCTGGTTAGCGGTCAAATGCCTTAGGCACCATGCTACCAGAGCTCCCTTGTTTCCAGCAAACATCACAGCATCACAGAGGGTGTTTCAAATGAACTATGCACAACCGTACATGTTTCCTTTTTGGCCCAACACCCTCTCTGGCACTGTCCCTCAGGACACACCCAGTCCTACCACAGATCAATGCAAGACAAGATCACGACAGGGAAACTCCTAAACTGGTTGCCACCCGGCAACTGCAACACAGATCCAACAGCCTCCCAGACAAAGCTCCACGGAGAGCCCAGAACACGCACTATCACAAGACGACAAGGGGCTCCCGGGCAGGCGCAGACCAGCAAGACAGTCGCCACAGCCGTGCTTTCTTGATGGAGCCCATCCAGGAGGCCAGGAGCGCAGAGCTGGGCCAGGCTGGCTGACCGAGCAGCACCTGCGAGCACCACCATCCACGCGGATCCGTCCTTCCTCCGGCTAAGCTTCCGAGTGCAGGCAGTGGGGACCTACCCTCAGACCACCAGGCCCGGCACAGCACAGATGCAATCTAGGCCAACGCCTAGGACGGTCACCGCTAACTGTGCACTGAGGGTTGAGGGTTAGGGCCCACAACATGGGATCAAGCCACCAGTCAGAAAGAGGGGTGCTGCACGGACAGCCAGACATCCGCCCACAGCACAGTAACTGCCCGCAGGGGCAAGCTGGACACTCGCCAACAAGCCGGACGCCCGCCTGCAGGACGTAACTGAAGAGCCAGTCTACGCAAACAATGTACTGCCTGGAACCCGTGCCGGCCCTGTCCCGCAGTGCAAAGGCTGAGATGTGGGACGTTAAGTCAGAGCAGCAAGTGAGGTTGAGATGCTCTTGGTCAAAACCCATCAGTGGGCTCTGAGATCTGTGCGTGCGGCAGGAAAGGGGGCGTCACCACAGGCCGTCTGCTCAGCTCCAGGCCACACTCAGGTCCTCAGGCTCCTGCCTCTGCGGGAGAGGGCTTACCACCCAGCTTGTGACGGGACAGCAAGCTTCCTTAAGAAAGTCCTCGCCATACAACTACTTGGCCCATCATAGAACCTGTCACTGGGAGGGGGCTCCGCCTCCCACCTGCCCCTATTTACACGTCCTTCCCGAGGGGGTGTTCTACCTCCACTTGCCCCTCCACTCACTCTGCCTTTCCTGGAGAGTGGGGGCCACCACGTGGCAGGAAATATCAAATGCACAAAACGAAGCCAAGCAGCCAAGATAGGCCCATTACGGCCCCCACAGAAAAGATAGCTCCCCCAAGGAAAGACAGCGCCCCCCGGCACGGCCCTGCAGAGACAGCACCCCCTGGCACGGCCCAGGAGACACAGCGCCCCCCGGCACGGTCCAGCAGAGACAGCGCCCCCCGGCATGGCCCTGCAGAGATAGCACCCCCTGGCACGGCCCAGGAGAGTGCTCCAGAGCCCACAGGGAGTGGACACCCTTGGTCCAGTCAGTGACCAGCAACCAGGCACAGACGGAGCACACAGCTACATCCTGTGTTTCAGAGCTGTGGGCAGGCGGTGGCCAGGGCTCAAGGCACCTGGGAGCCTACTTGGGTACAGTTCTCAGCTCTGGCAGACCGGGAGGAACCCATTGTTCCACCCTCTGACCCAGGACACATGCAGGTGTCATTTTATTCTGGTTAAATTTACCACTAAACAATGTCCCCACAGTCCCCGTCATCTGCCTCTTAGAGTACACCACCACCAAAACCATGATCATAACCACCCCAGCCAGCGCCATTCAGAAACCCCACCTTTGTGTAGGCCAACTAAGGGCAGCCCATGTTGGAGACATGGAGGGTCCAGTTCCAGACCGCAATCAAGCAAGCGTCACAGGAAGGCAAGTCCCGTGAACTTCTGGTCTCCCAGCGCAGACAGAAGTTCTGTACACACCACACGGTGGTCTGTTAACAGTGCAATGACTTTATGGAAAAGCTTAAAATACTGTGAGAATGACAGTATTCTGAGAGCGTGCTTTTGGAAAACCGGTGCCGGCCGGTTTGATGCATGACTGCCACAAACCTGCAATCTGTCCAAAAGGAGCCGCCTGCAGAGTACAAGCAAAGCAAGGTGTCCCTGTGCAGGAAGAGAAAGTGACCACAAGACACCAGGTTCAAGTCCAGGGCCCCCAAAGGGTATGAGCAGAGGGCATACGCCCTGGGCATGGGGGGGGGGGTGCAGCAGCTCTGGCCCAGGAAACACCCAGGCCGCCTACTTCTCTCGCTCCTTGTCTTTCTCCCTCTGTTTCTCTCTCTCTCTCTCTCTCTCACACACACACACACACACACACACACACAGATTTCTAGCCTGGAAACGCAAAAGTTTCTCCTTCATTTTACAGAGAGCATGATGGGAACATTAACATTTCAGTGACAGGTCAAGTGGGAAACATTATTTGACATTACAATAGTATGACCAGTGGTGTAGTGGTTAAGGATGCCTGTCAACTTGGCTGGGCCTGGCTGAGCGGCTGGGCAGCGGGAGGCGGGGATTCCGCAGGCTGAGACTGGTCACCAGCTGCGTGGTGGCATCTCCTGGAACAGCTGAGGAGCTGCCTTAGGGACGTGGGCTGCTTCCCGTGCACAAGAAGCTTCGGAAAGGCCTGGAGCTTTTGGCACGCTTAGGCCCTGCACGTAGCCCAGTCAGTCAGCAGCCTGCCACGGCGCCTGCCATGTGGCTTGGTAATTTGGGGACTGTGCTATGTTACCCATCAACCCTGGGCTTGGCAGCCTCCGCAGCCAGCAGCTGTCTGAGTGAAGAGAAGCCTCCAGCTCCAGTGGGCTGGGAGCAGGAGGCAGAGCGGAAGCCCAAGGTCGAGAGGCCTTCACCAGCCCCTAGAGCTGTCACTGTGAGCTCAGAGTTGTAGGGTCCTAAACTGTAAGAGAATAAACTCCTGTTTGTTCAAACCATCCACCTGCTGTATGTCTGATGGAGCTTCACTGTGGTTGTTATGTGCCATCAAGTCACAATGCAGCCTCTCACAGCTGGAGGAACAAGGTGTGTGAAGGTCCTCTCAACTTCTGCAAGTGAAGTGCCTGATGTGGCCCTTCTAGCCACTGTCCCCGGTTTTCTATGTACTGTAAATCCTACTACCCATGCCTGTTTAGGGTGCTGTGGTAGTGAAGGTGTCAACTTGGCTGGGCAGCTGGTAGTAGTTATTGCCCATGAGGACTGTAATCGGCTCTGTGGTGGAATCTGCCCTGCACAACTCAGCAGCTGCTTTTACTCCTGACTGTTAGAGTCATCCACTGGGATATTGCTGTTGGAGCAGCACAGGTGGGCTATATCTCGAGACCTGTTTGGCTGGAGGGGGTAACTCAAATCACCACCCTTGGCTTCCAAGGGCATACATAGGAATCTCCTGGGAAAGTTCACGCTCCCTCTTGCTCTGGTTCTGTGTTTTGGCTCATTGTCATCTCACTCCTGGATGTGGGACAGCAGCCGTCATCTGATCTGCTGACTGAGGTTCATCAAACCCTGAGAACTGGGAGGATCCTCCAGACCTACTTACAGACCTGGGACTTGACAGCCTGCCAGCTTCCCAGCCTCCACCACTACATGAGACAATCCCTTAGGGGTCTGTGAACTCTATGAGGCATTACAGTGAAACACAGAACGCTAAAATGGGGGAGATTACTGAGAGGAGGAGGAAGAGGAGTTACTGTCTGAAATGATGGGGTGGCATGGTAGTTTGGACATTTGGGACATCTTTAACCTCTGCCTCATGGGGACCGGCCTTGTGCTGATCTTTCTGAGAGAAATTCTTCAAGCACCTTCAAAGCCCAGATGCCTAGTGATTAAGAACACCGCAGACATGTGCTACAGGCAGGGTCTCATCAGCAATCTCCCGTTTGAGGCCTGGAGTCAGTCCCAGGAACGGGTCTAGTGAGTACACGCCACACAGATAAACCCTGCTGCCGAGCACGTGCTCCGGGACGCGGTCACCACCAGGCCTACCTTCACTCTTCTCCAGGAGAGATGCTATGACGGCTTCGTCCTCGATGGGGTTCAGGGAACAGGTGGAGTACACCATGCGGCCACCCTCGGCGAGCTGCTCGGCGCCTCGTGTTGCAATCCGCAGCTGCAGGCTAAGGAGCAGACCTGAGGCTACCACAGACTGACCACGGGCACGCTGGGTTTCAGAAACACGTACTGGCCCACCACGCCATCCACTTATTGTGTCAGGACAGACTTATGCAACAGCCTACTCTAGGTCAAATGACCAACTGAAAAATAAGGAACCCTTTAGGGTTTCTAAGTGAACTTACACAGGGGCCTGGTGGCACAAGCAGTGAAGCGCCTAGCTGCTAATCGAAAGGTCAGCGGTTCCAACTAACCCGCAGTCTCACAGAAGAAAGCCTGGCAGTCCACGTCCATAAGGATTACAGTACCGAAACCTGGGAGGCAGTGCTGCTCTAGGGCAGGGGGCTGCTACGGGGGGAGCTTGATGGACGGCAACTGGTACCGGAGGAAGGGACAGCAGTGCGCTTCATGCCAACAACGTGGTGACCTTGCTGCTGTTGTTGTCGGGTGCTGGGGACTTGGCCCACAGACCGCACGCTGCCCAGGCCTGCCATCTTCACAATCACTGCCATGCCTGAGCCCATGTCCCAGCCACTGTGTCCACATAACGACATTAATAAAAGCTGCTGATAACACCTTTTCACTATGCTGTTAATCTTCCACAACGTGTCAACAAGCAAAACACTGACCTGACAACAAACACCAAACAGTAAACGGATCTCACCACAAACACCAAGCTACCAACGAGCCAGCAAACACAGTAAACAGAGCTCACTATAAACACCGAGCTGACGAACCAACACCAAACAGTAAATGGATCTCACTACTAACTGCAGTTACCAAGCCCTAAGCCTCCAGACGTGTACAAGCACGTGCCCTTTGTCCTCATGCAATTCGTTTCCCTTCACATATTCTAAGCACCCTGACCTCACTGCTGTCCCACAGAGCCCCACACTGCAGGAAGGGCAAGCGTTCGCCAGTCCCTACCCCTGCGGCTGCAGGTGCTGACGGTCAGCGTGCTTCACGCACATCAGGGCCACAATCCACCCCGAACGGTGAACGATGCTGCCTGCTCCAAGGCACCTCACCACCCTGCCGTGGAGTCGATTCCAACTCACAGCAGCCCCTAAGGGGCAGAGTAGGGCCGCCCCGGGCGGCTTTTAGGAGCAGACAGCCTCATCTTTCCCTCATGGAGCAGCTGGGGGATTTAAACCGCCGACCTTTTGGTTAGTAGTCGAGTGCTTTAACCACTGTGCCACCAGAGCGCCTTCACAAAGGGGTCCGGGATCATTTTATGCAGAAATATGTTTGAAATGTTACAAGAACTTTTTATAAAAGGCACTTTTAAGGTATGTATATCTGACACACACGTTATCCTACCGCCCTGACGGGCTCTAAGGTAACTGCTGACACACAACAGGAACCAACTCTGCAGGAAGGAGAACCCACACGCACAGAGGCTGAGGCAAGCCCCGCACCCCGGGCACGAGGCTCCCATCTCAGCCAGGAAGGCCCACTCACCCTTCCGGGCACCGCACTCACCCGTGCAGCTGCAAGCTGTTCAGCGTTGTCCACTTCTTCCAGACATCAATGTTCTTCCTCATCGTGCCGTCCCCGCTGGAAAGAGGTATTTAAGAATTTTAAACTCTGTATAAGCAGAAGATTCTGGCTTCAGACAGGTCAAGTCCAAGCTCAGCTCCCAACATGAGACACCCAATGAGCAAAGCTCCCCGGTTCTCACCAACTGCATCTCTCCCAGCCTGTGCCAGGACCCTCAAACCACTGTGCTCACTAAGCACACCTGAGCTTTCCCTCCAACAGGGAGACAAGAGACCCGGGTGGGGAACTTCACTCAGCACATGAACTGACTCATCTGCTCCCGTCTGCGAAAAGCACTGGCCATGCCCAGTCGCAGAGCTGGGCTGGAACCGCGAGTCAACAGTCAACGTCTGGAGCCTGCCATCGCGAACTCGGCCAAGCACACGCGGTGTTCTCGTCAGAGCTCAAAGACCAACGACCAACTTGCATTCCTAAGGAGCTTCCCACAGCACGGCCCATTAAGCCCACTTCGTTCCTTCATCTGGCTTTTCCTCCACATCCCAGTTAAACATCTGCCATCTTCTACCTTTGCTTGATGGAAATCACTTCCACGCAAATCTGACAGACTCCGTTCGTTCATTTTTCTGTCCATCTCAACTTCCACCTGTCAAGTTTTCCATGTGTAATTACTGACCTTTGCTGGTTTTCTCTACAAAGTTTCACCTTGGTAGTCTAGTTGCCAACATCCTTGAGGTAAAGGTTATAGGAAGGAAGTCCGGTAGCACAGTGGCCAAGGCATCTGACTGCTGACCTGAAGGTTGGTGGCCCAGACTCACCAGCCACCCTGCAGAAGCAAGACTGGGCAATCTCCATGAAGATTTACCTCCTCGAAACCCAGCAGGGGTTTCTATGAGTCGGAATCAAGTCGATGGCAGTGGGTTTGGTTTTTTAATCTTCAGAGGAGCAGACTGTCAGGTAGTTCTCCCACGGACCGAGCAGCAGGTTTGAACTGCTAACCTTCTGTTAGCAGCCTGGTGCTCCACCGCCACACCACCATGGCACCTTCTGGCTTCTATGGTGGCGGCTTAAAATGCACACGATTCTGAGGAACCTCTCAGCTTGTGACTTACAACGTCCCTTCATTTTCAAACTGACACAAAAACAAGTTATGCTCCTGACAGAAAGAAAACAGGTATGGGAAGCACCAACTGGAAGAAGACCAGACAACTAGAGTCCAGACAGAAGGACTGTGCTTGTGACATAGTTCAGTTTTCACATCAAGGAGAACATCTTCCAGTATTTTAGAATCCAGCCACACTCGCTGCTACCAGCTACACTTTTCAAACTCGGATCTGCCCCCAGCAGTTCCCTCTGCCACCTGTTCAACCTGGAACTGTTCCACTACGGTCAAGCAGACTCCAGCACCAGGCTGGGGAGCCAGGACTGACCGCGGCTGCCCCAGGTGCCAGGACTGAAGGCCTGCGGCAGTGTTCCAGGGTCCTGGTCTCAGCAAACTCGGCTCCCAGGAACATGCCCCAGCCCCCACGGCGACTTTTCACATCACTCCTTTAGACTTCTGCAGCATCCTTGGTATGTTTCCATTCTGAAAATGTGTTCAGTCACAGCATGGAATTCTGCAACAGGTGAAGCATGGGGAAAGGTACAGAGACGACACAGACACATGGCTGTGCACATGTGAACACCCGCACACGCTTCTGTGTGCAACAGCACCACTGAGGCCTCCACCGAGGGCACTGGGGGGAGCGAACCGCCTGCACTCAACGGCTCACCCGGTGGTTGGCAGTTCAAACCCAGCGATTCCTCTGGCAGACAGTATGCCTGTGGAAAGACCTCAGGCAGGAAAACTCTATGGGCCAGCTGTACCCTGTAACACGGAGCACTGACAGCAGCTACCGGTTCCCAGCTTGTCATGAAAGCCCAGTTCTGGGGCAGAGGTGCACTCACACCCATCAGGAGGACACAGACAAGGACTCAGACGGTGACAACTGTGATTCTGGGACAGAGGCCCCCACGCTCGCGGGGGGGTCAGATACAAGTACTCACAGAAGCAGCCCACTCACACGTGTCATGAGCACGCACGATTCCACTGGCTTCTTGAGGTTGCTGACACCCCTCGTGGCACCGCGTCACTGTGTCCCATGCCTCTTGTATCCTCTGTCACTAGATCTATCCCCACGGTCTGCGTGTTCACCTGTCTTCTGATTCAGGCTCACGGTGCCTCTTTCCCATGCCCACTGCTGCCACCAAGACCACACTACAGGACGTACGTGTCCACCCCAAGTAAACTCCCACATGGGCTCAGATAACCTGACTGACACACGCCTGCAGGGCAAAGTCCACAGGAGATATGTGTCCATCCTGGATGGGACCTCCCTGGGCTCAGGTGTCCAGATGACACACACCTGCGGGGCATGTTACACAAGATGTCTGTGACCCCCCTGGATGGGCCCTCCCTGGTGGGCACAGCTCACGCACCTGCAGGGCACGTCACACAGGATGCGGTCGTAGAAGAGTGCCTCCTTCCGCCCGCCCACGTCCATGTGCAGCCGGGGGATGCTGGACGCGTCGTGGTTGACCACCATGACGCAGGGGCTGCTCAGCCGCTTGGCTTGATGCACTAGCAGGTAGCAGCGCCTGTTGTCCACGTCGTTCGCGATGACAAACCCCTCTGCAAACGTGAAAACGTGACATCAGAGGAAAGGCAGCCCACGTGTACCATTTCTGACAAACCCCCCTGTGAACGTGAAAACATGACGTCAGAGGAAAGGCCGCCCATGTGCACCATTTCCTGCAGGAAAAGTCCACCAGACTGGCAGTGCAATGCAGTAACTTACACCCCACTGAGGCTTTGCACTCGAGTGCTGCTAGAAACATGGGGGGCCCAGAGAGGGGCCGAGAGGCTCGGCAGCTCAGGGACGTGTGCAATTTCAAACCCTCATGACCCGTTTGATTGAGTATTCTAGTTCACCACGTTCCGCTCAGGGCATTGAACTGGCTCCGCCTGGTTTAGTCATGGCCGACAAAGCAAAATCTGAACACATCCAGAACTTGTAACAACTAGGACAGGACAATCAAGACTGAACACCTCCCTCTGAGGAAACACGGGCCCCACGCGCGTTGCAAAGCCAACACATCGCTCCGCTGGCCGAGCTGGAAAGAGCGGGGCCAAACCCAAGATGGGGCTGTGAGTGTGTGTCGCCCCAGTCTGGGCAATGACGTCCCTGCCCCCTCCCCTGTGGCTCCAACCCAGGATTTCTCCCGTTTATCCCTCTGTTTCACCGAGTTGTAGAAACTCAGGTCTGTTCCAATTTCACCTTGTTGCTGTGATTGAACTGGGAAGAACGGTTCGAAGCCCTGGTTCCAATGAAGGTCCCTGGGCAGAGCAAACAGCTTGGGCTCTACTGCAAGGTTGGCGGTTCAAAGCTACCCCCGAGGCTCTGCGGAAGGAAGTCCTGGGGGTCCGCCTCCTAAGTCACGGCCACAAAGACTGTGTGGAGCCAAGTTTTGCTACCACGCACGGGGCAGTCAGGGTCGACTCCTCAGCCGTGGTCTGGCTTCGTGTTCCAACTGGCCGGCCAGAAAGGGCTCTCCTGTTAGAAATGCCTACTAACGACAAGGCAGAGAGATGACAGGGTGCGGGGCCCTACCCCGGCCCCCGAACCAGATTCATGGCTGGACCAGGCGCCTGATCTCCTCAGCTGCTTCCCAGTGGCCTCTGCTCTGTGCCCAGGAAGAACACCTGCCAGAAAACTCATCAGTGCCCCCCCTTGTCACACGCTCCTCTCACCTCAGGAGCCAGGCAAAGGCGTGGATGACCAGTGTGGGAGCCCCTAGAGGCACAGCAAGCGTGGGCCCCTTCTGCTGACTCACTCATTGGAGTGAACAGGACCAAAGAGGTGGGGAGACCCGGGAAAGCTGGCCTCCACCAATCAGCTCAGCAGAAGGCAGCCCATGGCTCCCTGCTCGCGGGGCGTCTGCCCGGACACGTGACCCGTGGTGGGGGAGGCAGTGCTGCCCTGGCCCATCAGGGCCCTGACGGCCACTCCAGAAAAAGTGGTTCCAAACGGGAGTCGAGAGGTCTGCTCAGAAGAAGGGAACAGAGCAGACGGGCCTCAGACACACAGCCGAGGAGCTGGTCCCCTCAGACAGCAGTGCAGCTGTGCTAACACCAAAAGCAAGCAACAAGATAAACGCCGACAACAGGACGAGCCTCACCAGTCACCACAAGCAGCGTGTGGCTTTCACCTCAGAATTCCACAAAGGGGAGATTACAGAAACAGTGTGAGCACTAACAGCAGCACGCCACTCCCTGCAAACACCTTCCACTGCCTCCTGTTGCTGTCCCTGCCCACTCCCACCCCCGACAACCAGTGGATGTGGTATCTACTGAGGACAGCGGGTTTGGAGCCCTGGCCTCCAGGTGACATCGCTGCCCACTCCCACCCCCAGCAGCCAGTGGATGTAGTATCTACTAAAGACAGCAGGTTTGGAGCCCTGGCGTCCAGGTGACATCACTGCCCACTCCCAGCCCCGATGGCCAGTGGTATCTACTGAAGATAGCGGGTTTGAAGCCCTGGCCTCCAGGTGACGTCGCTGCCCATTCACACCCCCGACAACAGTGGATGTGGTATCTACTGAAGATAGCGGGTTTGGAGCCCTGGCCTCCTGGTGACGTCGTTGCCCGCTCCCAGCCCCACGTGCCAGTATGCTATCTACTGAAGGTGGTGGTTGGAGCCCTGGCGTCAGACCACAGTTCTAGTGAACACCCTCACTGTCCGCACAAGCCATGACCAGGCCAAAGAAAGGACAGCAAGCTGAAACTGTGGATGATGTAAACTCTTCGACCATTTGCTGTACAGAAACCACACATGACCTTAAAACAAAGCCTCGAGAGTCACAGACATGCAGCTCTGAGCACAGCAGACGGGGGCACCGGAGACATCGAGACCCAGTGGCACAGCCTGCAGCAGGGTCCTGCCCCCCACGGCACCCACCAAGGTCACCTTCTCCCTCCTGGAATGCAAGCTCCACGCCTACCTGGGAAAGGGATGCTCATGTCAGCGTGCAGCATCTCAATTAGCTGGGCCGTCTTTGATCCGGGGGCCGCACACATGTCCAAAATCTAAGGGCAGAACCAGAAGACGTCCAGGTTTCACGTCAACAAGTCAAAGGTGCCAATTTCACGTAAAACAATTTCACCAGTCGTTCTAGCATTCTGACTTCCATCCCAAGATCTAAATACATTTCTTTACAGACTAAATCCACAGAGTGATCAATCTTGCTTCAAGACAGACACACAACGGGGACTCCATGACATGTGACTGTCCTGTGAACTCAGTGACAAAGATGGGGTCTCCAGAGACCAACCCTAGAAGCAGGAACAGCAACACAGCCAGAGATGACCGAGCAGAGACACCAATCACACAGGATGACAGCCTCAGCTAGGCCCCTCAGCGCTCCCCCTTCAGGCCAGCTACTCAGCATCTCTGCCTCTACTTCCTGACCATCCGGCCCCAGAGGGCACATGGACGAGGAGATGAACTAACATATGCACAGGGTGCAGACGACACCAGCACCCAACACACTGATGGTACTCGCTCACTAGGACTGGCTACTCTGAGTATCAACGTGACCCACCAAGATCCCCGAGGCTCAGCTGTACCTTACCAAACAAAACCAAGCTTCAGAAAAGCAGCCAACCATAGGAAATGCCAAAGTGAAAACAGTACTGGGAGAGTCTAAAATGATTTGCTATTTTAGCAAAGGAAAAAAAAAAAAAAAGAGGCCTGGTGGCACATTGGTTGAAGCACTCACTTCTAATCAAAATGTCCATGGTTCAAAACCACCAGCTTGTCCTCAGGAGAAAGATAAGGCAGCCTGCTTCTGTAAAGACTCAAACCAAAAAATCAAACTCACAGCTGCTGAGTCAGATTCAAGTCATAGCAACCCCTCCTTGGGTTTCTGAGGCAGTATCACTACAGAAGTAGATTGCCCCATCTTCCTTCCAAGGAGTGGCTGGTGGGTTTGAACCGCCAGCCTTCTGATTAGCAGTCAGGTGCCTTAGGCAGTATGCTACAAGAGCTCCTATCTGTCTTCTAGGGGTGCTGTAATTGACTCCACGGCAGTGGGTGTGGTTTGGGCTTTGCTTCTGTGAAGACTGACAGCCTTGGAGACCCTGTGGGCAGTTCCACTCTGTCCTCTAGGGGCGCTGTGGGTCGGAATGGACTCCACGGCAGTGGGTGTGGTCTGGGCTTTGCTTCTGTGAAGACTGACAGCCTTGGAGACCCTGTGGGCAGTTCCACTCTGTCCTCTAGGGGCGCTGTGGGTCAGAATAGACTCAATGGCGATAGATTCATTGTTGCCAAAGTGCAAAGGAAAATATAAAAAAGGATTGACTGATTATACTACCGCACCAAGGTGTCACCACTCAGACCCCGCAGGCGCAGTACGGCCCGCACCCGGTCCACCTGCGCCTCGCCTGCCACGATACCTTGTGATGCGGCTGCACGCGGAGCAACAGTGGTGGAATCATGCTCACGGCTTCTTGCCGGCTGATGTTTCCCTGAGGAGAGAGAAAGGAATCAGCAGCCGGGCTGAGATGGACAAGTTAAAGTTGGCACTATTTCAAACAGGACAGAGAAAGCAAGCACGTGGTCCTCTATAAGCTAGGACAGATCAGCACCATCACAGACTCCAGGTCAGGAAGCACCGCAGAGCGGCCCTACAGGATAAAATGGGAGCCAGCGAGAGGCGGAGAGGCAGGGCTGGCTGAGAGAGAGGTCTTGCCCCCCACGCAGGAGTCCTGTGTTTGCTTTGCCACCAAGGCACCGCACACAGTCCCCACCCATCCGTCTGCCGACGCCCGAGTGGTGCTGTGATGCCAGACAGGTTTCTGCGGCACCTCCGGACTGACACGGGCTGGGAAGAAAAGGCTGGCCGTGGAGACCAGCCAGAAACCCCATGGGCCACACAGTCCCAACACGCAGCCAGAAACAGCGCGGGACTGGGCAGCGCTTCCTCCTGCCGTGCGTTCAGTCTTGTCAGTCACGCACCAGCACCCGGCTGCAGCATCAAACATCCTGACGCGACGCCGTGCCTTACACCTGGAGTTTCGAGTTCACACGGCACGGCCCCTCCACCTGATGAAGCCAGGGCTGCTGACACCTGCGGTACCAGCAGGCATCGAATCCAGCACAGGGGAGCAAGCTTGCAAAGAACATTCCCCCTCCGCGCCAAAACCGTCATCGCTACTTCCTCGTCCTCACAAACAAACGCCCACTTCCTATTGGCCAGAGTGGCCATTCCAAGCGCTCAACCGCTCCCCTCTTGTTCTTACAATCAACGGGGACTGGTTAAGCAATCGGCAACCGAAACATCGGCGGCTCACACCCACCGGCTGCTCCATGCACGATGTGGCCGCCTGCTTCCGCAGAGGTGACTGAGATGGAAACCCCGTAAGGCACTTGTGCTGTCCTGCAGGGTCACTAGAAGTGGGGATCAACTCAACAGCAGCGGGTTCAGGAGCACATCACCGTACAAGCAGGGGTGTCAGAGCAGCGGGTGCACGGGGATCCGGTCGGTGGCAGAGGTCCAGCAGCTTGTTGCTATGAGAGCGTGACTCAGCGGCAGCGGGTTCCGTAGCCATCCCGTCACTGTAAACGGGGGACAACTTGGCGGTGGGTCTGGTAGCTCGTCACTGTCTCAACGGTCCTGCAGCTCTGATGGGCAACAGTGTCTTCTAAGAGGCACAACTGCCAAGTCAGACAGAACTGGGCCGGGGGTCCCAGCACTCGGTGCCATCACAACCCTGTTCTCACGGCTTTGAAGCTGAGCCCTTCAAACAGCAGCAGCTGTGAAACGTGGGGCTCCCGGAGGTTCTGGCCCAGGAATTCCAGCCGCATCTGTGTGCCTGGGCAGCGGTGCAGGGAAACACTCCCATCCTCTGCACCTGGTTTCCAAATCCACAGACAAGACTTTTCCATCCCCCCCGCCAGCAGCATGTCTGAGAGCACCGTGTGCTCTCCCCTGGCCACGGACTCCAGGTTCCAGTACTGCGGACAGGATTGCACGGAGCCTGCCTCTGGCTCGTCACCACTGGAGAGCTTCTGCAGCAGCTGGGTAACCCAGAGTGTGTCCCTGTCACCTCAGGACAGCTTCCACCACGGATTCCTCAGCCCCCCTCCACTGTCAACAGCACGCACCCCTCTCCTCCACCTGGCAGTGCCAACACAAGGTGCTTCTGACAGCCAAGTGCGTCACACCCCCACCGCGCTGTTACCACTCTGATCTGACTGCATCCTGGCCAGCCACCTAAGCCAGAAGGCCCACAAGCCCAGGGCAGGGCTTCCCTACCACGAAGGACAGGGAAGGCAAACAGAGCTCAGCGTAACAGGCTCCCTGTATCAGCACAGAAGCCCACTGGCAGCAAACAGCCTGTGGGCCAAGCAGAAACTACAACTGACATGAAAATTTCTAAATGGGCGACAGCTTTAGGAAAGGAACCAGGTTGTTGTTGTTAGGTGCCGTCAAGTCATTTCTGACTCATAGCAACCCCATGCACAGCAGAAGGAAACACCGCCCAATCCCACGCCCGCTCCATGATCACTGCTATACTTGAGCCCATTGGCGCAGCCACCATGTAAATCCAATCCATCTCGTTGAAGGCTTTCCCCTCTTTCGTCGACCCTCCACCTTACCAACCATGGCATCCTTCTCCAGGGAATGATCCCCTCTGACGACATGACCAAAGTAGGTGAGACAAAGTCTGGCCATTCTCGCTTCCAAAGAGCATTTCTGGTACACTTCCTCCAGGACAGATCTGTTAGTTCTTTTAGCAGTCCACGGTACTTTCAGCATTCTTCACCAGCACCACAACTCAAAAGCATCAACTCTTCTTTGGTCTTCCTTATTCATTGTCCAGCTCTCACATGCATACAAAGCAACTGGAAATATGGCTTGTGTCAGGCGCACCTTAGTCCTCAAGGAGACATCCTTGCTCCTCAGCACTTGAAACAGTTCCTTTGCAGCCGACCTGCCCAGTGCTGCACGTCGTCTAATGTCCTGACCGCTGCTTTCATTGGCATTGATTACAGAACCAAACAAAGTGAATTCTTTGACAACCTCAATCTTTTCTCCATTTATCGTGATGCTGCTTATTGATCCAGTTGTGAGAATTTTTGTCTTCTTTATATTGAGATGTAATCCATACTGTAGACTATAGTCTTCAATCTTCATCAGTAAGTGCCTCAAGTCATCCTCACTTTCAGCAAGCAAAGTTGTGTTGTCAGCGTATCATAGGTTGTTAATGATTCTTTCTCTAATCCTGATGCCACGTTTTTCTTCATATAGTCCAGCGTCTCAGATTATTTGCTCAGCATATAGATTGAATTAAGTATGGTGAAAGGATACAACCCTGACACACTCCCTTCCTGATTTTAAACCATGTAGTGTCCCCTTGTTCCGTTCGAACAACAGCCTCTTGGTCAAGGTACAGGTTCCTCATGAGTGCAATCAAGTGTTCCCATTCTTCTCAATGTTATCCATAATTTGTCATGATCCACACAATCAAATGCCTCTGCATATTCAATAAAACACAAGTAACCATCTTTCCGGAACCAGGTAAGCACTGTAATCCTGTGAAATGGGCCTAAGAGGCTCCTTCCTTGTCTTAGTCTAGAAGCTGAAACCTGTGCACCACAGGTGGTCCCGCGGGCATGTGAAATAATGGTGCCATAGCTTCCTGGACCAAGGTCACACGCACAGCAGCCCAGAAGACAGCCTGAGAGGTGGGTGGTGGCCTGTGGGGGCACCACAGTCTGGTCTACTGCTTGGGCAACAACAGCTGTGTTTCCCTTCTCTCCTCTGAGGAAGACCTTGTCGGGGTAGGCTGATCTCGTTTGTCTTCTAACCACGCACAGACAACGGAAAATCCACCTTTCCTGCCACTTGCGCTTCCCAACCAGAGAAGACACAGCCACATGCTGCCTTTTGTTTCACCTATCCTCAAGCAAACAAGCATCCTCTCCGTGGCTGACTGGGCACCAGGATTTCTATATTTTTCTGTTTTGTTTGTTTTGCACATGAGAACAGCCCAAGCCTTCACCCGGTGCTGCCTAGTGCCCTGGGTGAAGGAGGGATGTGACACATCAGCTAAGCGTCCCTCGGGCACTCACCCACGCTGCTGGCCCTGAGGTCAACGTTCATGAGTCAACAACACAGCAAGGTGCTTTAAAGAGACACAGATCACACAGGGTCAAGTGTGACAAGCTAACAAAAACGTGACGCGAGGCTCACAGGAACAAACGCTGTGTCCCCCTGGAGCACCAGTTCAAGACTTGTGCTTGTGCATCGGCAGGGACTCTGCAGAGCGTAACTCCCACAGGCGACAGAGTCGGCTGTGTTCTCACGGCAAGTGGTCTCTGCAGCGGGCTCTCGGTCAGGAAGTAAATGCCTGAGCTCGGCTTCTAGACTAGCACCGTCAGGTGGCAAGCGCTGTTCACCCTCACCCACAGATGACAGGAGAACACTTAGTACATGCTACTCTTTAACAAACGCTAGGAGCTCTGGTAGCATACTGCCTAAGGCACTTGACTGCTAACCAGAAGGCTGGCGGTTCAAACCCACCAGCCACTCCTTGGAAGGAAGGTTGGGCAATCCTACTTCCATAGTGATACTGCCTCGGAAATGCAAGGAGGGGTCGCTATGAGTCGGGGCTGACTCGACGGCAAATAACAACAACAACAACAAGATCTAAAGTGTTAGTTTTAACATGCAGCAGACCCAATAAAATGTCTCTTTTTACCAAGTCTCTAAAATTACAATTCTACACAGGGGCTGGTTATAAACCAGTAAAAGCCTCCTTTAACTTCAGTGGTTCAAATGTCAAAAAAATGAAATCAACAATGATGATGACATTTCTACTAAATTCCATGATTCTACAAGCTGGACGAAAGGACATTTGTAAACCATCAGAGACGGACATCACATAAGCATAGGCGTGCTCCCAGCGTGCCTACCTGACTGCTCTCCTTGACAAGTGTAATGAAAACATCCCCCCCAGACATCTTGCCAGTACAGCTCCCAAGAAACAAACAGATCCAAGCTGTCAACTTACAGACTCGGTCTCGCTAACCAGGAACTGGTGAAACTTTTCCAACTGTGGGGATTTCCTCAAGATTTTCCGACTCAGGTTGGTGTGCCACGCAAGCTCTTCAGGATACCTGGTCAGAAAGAGGGCAGGTAACAGTCCCTGGTCAGAAGGAGGGCAGAGTAACAACACAGCAGCCACCTTTCACTGCTCGCGCTTCACAGCCTCCCACACACGCAGATTCCGTCAGTGCCACCTGTGCCCATCCCTGCTGCTGTCAAGGCCAGCTCTCGGGGACATTAACAGGGCACAGGCAGCCTGGTGATGGCTCCATCAGGCCTGTCAAAACCCGGATGGCCACAGGGGTTACAGGAGATACACACAGGGTTACCAAAGATACTTACGGTGCAACACACGATCCATGACTATGGGAAACCTGCGATGCACAGTGACGTCACATGATGCACAGTGATGTCACACGATATAGACGAGGGACAAGGACACAGTGACATCACGTGATACACAGAGATGTCACGTGATACAGACACAGCGACATCATGCAACGCAGACACCGCGACGTCACACGATCCAGACACGGCGACGTCACGCAATGCAGACAAGGGACCTAGGACACAGCGACATTGCGAGACGCAGACACAGTGATGTCGCATGATGAAGACAAGGGACCTTGGACACGGCGAAACCACACGACGCACAATGACCTCGGAGACACACACAGTGACATCATGGGATCCAGACACAGGAGTTCTGCGATACACAGTGGTGTCACATGGCCCGTGGATTAGAAGACATCTCCCTCATGCTACAAGGACCATTAAGGCCAACGGCGGAATGCTGGAGCCCATGGGGAACGTACAGCCCCCCGCTGTCACCACGTAAATCAGCGATGGCACAGAGGCCATCAGGAAACGGGCCCAACAGTGTCTGGAAGGACAGATTGCACAGAAGCACAAATCAGCAGGGCAGTGTCTTTCTAACTTCTGGGGCCTCAGACCCCTTTGCTCAGAACTGAGGAAAGAAGGAACCGGAGGCAAGGATGTCCGGGACCCATGTGAGTGGTGGCAAAGAGCGGGCTCCTGCTGTTATGCTGGTCCACTAAGGTTCATCAGGACGCCCAAGCAGATATCACTTCAAAGAAAGCCTCCATCCTGCAGAGCTACAGGGTCGACAAACATTTGATAGGAATTTCTAAGCCCTATACACATGCACTATTTCAAAACCAAGTCAACGCAGTCACATGCTGAAATGCTTTAAACAACAGTGTGTCAGGAGCCACAGCCAATGTACACCCAGCCCGTGTGACTGACACAGGCCTGAGAGCAGGGACGGATGCTATGGCTGTGAACAGACATGAACTTTCCACAAATGCCACCTGGGACAAGGAAGGCAGAATTGTGTCAACACGCCGGACCACAGTAACCTGTATCTCAGAGTGAGGCCAGCTGCCACATCTGTAAGCAGACATGAACTTTGCACAGATACTGCCTACAACCAGGAAGGCTGGGCTGCGTCAACACGCTGGCCCGTGCGCTGACCTGTGTCAAGCCAGTGCACTAACGCAGCACACGCACGCCAGGCTCAATGACATGCCAGCTGGGCGTCCTGTGATAAAGCCCCTGCCCTGAGCACACCGGCAAGTCTTATCACAAGCTCCACCTGGCAAGGCCACGACACAGTCTTCTGGCATCAGAGGTGGACACGGCCCAGCCCTCTGCAGCATAGTAAATGACAGAGGGTGGCTTTTCTAGCCATAAGTCTTTGTGAACTCTGGTGGAATTTGCTGTGAGCAACTGAGTAGCTCCTAATTGTTAAAGGTATCCTGGAGTTTATCTCTGTGGGGAGCAGCACAAACTAAACTTCTGGGAAGTTCTCTCTCTCAGGGGTATACAGAATTCTGATGCTGGGATTGATTAGTTTGCCACTCTGCCAGGCTCAAAAGGAGCCCTCCAAGAGGCAGAAGGAGTCTCTCACTGCCAGCTGAGTGACGCGAGAGACGCGCACCACTGAGAGACCTCGAGAGACGCGCACCACTGAGAGAGACCTCAAGAGACGCGCACCACTGAGAGAGACCTCGAGAGATGCACACCACTGAGAGAGAGAGAGAGACACCGGGAGACTCACTGGGAGAGAGACTGAAAGAGACTGTCGGCTGAGAGACAGCGGGCTGAGAGAGACTAAGCATGTTCCTGAACCTGAATTGTAGCCTCGTGCTTCCCTAATAAACCCCATGATCTGTGAGCTCTGTGTGGCCACTGCAGCCAATTATCGAACCCAGAAGAGAGGTGGTGGGTGCTGCAGGAGGAACGGCTGGTGTCAGGGTTGGTGAAAGGGCTGGAGGGAGGCAGCATGTCTGGCCTCTCAGGAATAGGCCTTGGGCTACTGATGGTGATTCTGTCTTCCTCTTGTGGGGTTAGAGGACGTCAGAAGATGTGGTTTCCCTGCCCCTTTGGCACCCTCCTTGTCCTGGATGGCATCTGCATAAAGTTCACATCTGCAAACAGAAGATGATAGCAACAAAGATGCAACGAGAACGTCTGGAAAGCCGATTTGCTTAGAGACTGAGTGAGGGGTCTGACAGAAACAAACTCAGGCGGGAAGGCGGGAAGGTGCTGCTCGGCAGTGCTCGGTGTCCAGCGTACCAGAGAGGCGTTTCTGACAAAGGGTGAAGACTCCTGCTGAGCCCGTTCCCAGCACGATCCCGATGTCCCCGCTGCAAAGAGGCTGAGCCTGTTCGTGCCATGCTCCCAACATCCCCCGCTGGGAATTCTCTTGCTGAGCCCACTCCCGCCACGCTCCCAACGTCCCTGGTGTTTAACTCTGCTCCCCACACCGTGTTCCCTCCTCAGTGTTTAACCTGCTTCTAACAACAGAACCAATATAAAACCAGGTGAAAAGACAGTGTCACACATTTTGTGACTGCAGTGAGCTAAAATGAGACGGATGCATGCAAATCTGGCCTTGGCCTTGCATATGGTGGTCAGCATAATCCACCAACTCACCGCAGCCTTGGTGGCACTGACCAGCCCAAGGACTATTTTACAGAGGCAAATACTCCTGCTTATACCACGGACTGCCTAAAAAACCTGTCCTGGAAGAAGTACCGCAGAGTGCTCCTTAGATGTGAGAATGGCCAGACTTCATCTCTTTTGCTTTGCCCATGCTATCAGAAGGAACCAGAGGCCGGAGAAGAACATCACACTTGGGAAAGTAGAAAAAGTCAGTCCTCAACAAGGTGGATTGACAGTGGCTGCAATGACGGGCTCAAGCATAGCAAAGGTGGTGAGGCTGGCAGAGGACCGGGCAATGTTTCCTCCTGTTGTGTGCGTGGGGTCACCAGGAGTCAGAGCCAACCCAACAGCACCAACCACAACAACACACAGCCCGCACCGGGCTGTGCCCAAGAATAGCAAGTCATGTGTGTTACTGCCACACCAAATCACAACAGCACGAGCGCAAGCAGGCGTGCCATTCAGAGGGACTCCACATGGACGACCTTTCATTTCCCCAAACAGGCATTCTACATAGAACACGCATGAGCATCCCGTGTGCCTCACAGGCTGACTGCCGTGCAGCCACATGTAAGTGAGCACAACACTGGAACTTGACTGCGAGTGTCGTTAACTTGTGAATAAAGACAGACAGGCATTTCAAACAAACAGCACAGAGACTGACAGCGGAAGGACGGAAGAATGCCGTGTCCACAGGTCCAGGGCCAAGTTCGCCCTCGGGGAGCCAGCAACCTTCCCCTTTCAACAATCTCAAGGAGTCATGTTTAACCTGGAGCAAGAGCCTTCTAAAAAAGAAGGAAAAAAAGCCCTATTTGCCCTGTTTGAAAATCTGTCATGACTTTTGAGGACAAATCCTCACTGGGAGCCTCTCTCCTGCTGCCATTCTGGGGCCAACTCTGTGTCCGGGGAGGCCAGCTGAGTGTGTCCGGGGAGGCCAGCTGAGTGTGTCCGGGGAGGCCAGCTCAGTGTTTCTGCTCTGCGGCTGAACCAATATGTCCTCTCTGGCAGCAATGCAGTCCCTCCTCTGACCCTGGAGCTGGGTCAGGCCTGACACAGTAAAGGGAACAGCCTGCCCAAGACCGCAGACACCAGCTGAACTCGGGGGTCCTCAAGACACCCTCCCTTCTGGCTGGCAGACAATGGTCCTCTAAGTGTCTATGTATGATCTGAATTCCCAGGTGTATAGTAGAGCTGACAAGAGACAAGCTTGTGGTCACTTCTTGGTCACAGCGAGCTAACCAGAGGGACCAAGCAATTGAACTTTTGGGCTTGGAACCACAGTCGCAGGGGACATCAAGCTCAATGGCACAACATACTACACAAAACGTTGTTCCACCTCCTACTTTGGCGAGTAGCAATTGGGATCTTAAAAGCTAGCAAGCAGCCATCGAGATGCAACGATGGATCTCTCCTCATCCAAAGCAAAGAAGAATGAAGAAAACCAAAGATTCATGGCAAGAACTGGTCCTAACGACTGGTACACCATGCAATCCGCAGCCTCTATGACTATCAGACCAGAACTAGATGGTGCCTGGCTATCACTGTCAACCACTCAGAGGAGGAACTATGTAGGAGATCCTGGATAGAGAGGGAGAACAATGTGGAACAAAACTCAAAACCATTTGGAAAAAACAAAAAGGGGACCAGGTTTGCTGATCTGATAGAGCCCGGTGGAACCATTGAGAACCCTAGCTGCCCTTCAGGTCTTGAATTGAACCCACACCTGTGGCTTCCAGCCAAGCCAAAGACAGGCATAGGAGTTGAACATTTACCTGAGGGAGATACTCTTTGGAGAGAACAATCATGGCAGAAAGAAGGGCTGTCTGTGTACAGGGAGACAGCTCAGGAGGCAGGGGTGCATGGAGGGATGGACACAGGGAAGAGGTGACTGTCAGGAGGAAGTGGGAGGGGAGCTGATGCATTGTGGTGAATTGTGGTCAATGTCATGAGACAAAGTGTATGCGAACCACTGTATGGAAAGTGAACGTGCTCTGTAAATTTTCACCCGAATCACAATTAAAAAAAAAAAAAAAGACACTCTCCTTTCTGACATGCTATCTACAAACCCAAGGGTTTCCCAATGTGTCTGATACAGTGTGGAAAGATGAACCCCTCAGGGTAAAAGGCACTCAAAATACAACTGGAGAACAGCTACCTCCTCAAAGTAGAGTTGACAAGCTTTCAGGACCTTCATTTGCTTATGTGGTACAACTCAAAATGGGAAGAAACAGTTGCAAACATCTATTAATAATCGGAACATGAAATGGATGAAATATAAATCTAAGAAAACTGGAAGTTGTCAAAAATGAAATGGAACATATAAAGATCGATATCCTAGGCATTAGCAAGCTGAAATGGACTGGTTTTGGCCATTTTGAATCAGACAAACATATGATCTACTATGCTAGGAGTGTCGAATTAAAGCAAAAGGGAGTGGCATTCATCATCACAAAGGATGTTTCGAGATCTGTCCTGAAGTACAATGCTGTTGGTCATAGGATAATATCTACAAGGAAGACCAATTAATACAACTATTATTCAAATTCACGCACCAACCACCAAAGTCAAAGACGAAGAAACTGAAAATTTATGCAGTCAGAAACTGACCAAACATGCAACCAAGATGTACTGATTACTACTGGTGACTGGAATGTGAAAAGTGGAAACAAAGAATTATCAGTAGTTTGAAAATATGGCCCTGATGGTAAAAATGACGCCAGAGATAGAATTTTGCCAAGACCAACGACTTATTTGCTAGAAATATCCTTTTTTCAACAACATAAACAGCAAGTATACACGAGGACCTCAACAGATGGAAAACACAGGAATCAGATGACTATGCCTATGGAAAGAGGACATGGAGAAGCCCGATACCTTCAAACCAAAACAAGGCCAGGAGCTGACTGTGCAATGCATCAATCGTTCATACTGAAGCTGAAGAAAACTAACACAAGTCCAGAAGAATCAAAGTACACTCCTGAGTATATCCCACCTGAATTTAGAAACCATCTCAAGAATAAATAAACACTAATAACTAAAGACCAGATGAAGTGTGGTGTAACATCAAGGATATCATATATGAAGGAACCAAAAGCATTTAAAACATTGGAAAGAAAGACCAAAATGGTGTCAGAAGAGACTCTGAAACTTGCCCTTGGATGGCAAGTAGCTAAAGCAAATGGAAGAAATGACAAGATAATAGAGCTGAAAAGAAGATTTCAAAGAGCAGCTCCAAAGTCAATTATTATAATGAAATATGCAAAGACCCGGAGTTAGAGAACCAAAATGCATTAACACGCTCGGCATTTCTCAAGCTCAAAGAACCAAAGAACCAAAGAAAGAATTCAAGCCTCAAGTTGCAATATTGAAAGATTCTATGGGCAAAATACTGAATGAAGCAGGAAACATCAAAAGAAGATGGAAGGAATACAGTCATTGTATCAAAAAGAACTGGTCGATGTTCATTCAGTTGAGGAGGTGGCGTGGGATCAATCAATGGTACTAAAGGAAAAGTCCAAGCTGCACTGAAGGAATTGGCAAAAAACAAGGGTCTGAGAATTGATGGAATACCCAGAGATATTTCAACAATAGATACACTTCTCTATGCCAAGAAATCTGGCAGACAGCTTCTGCCCAACTAACCAGAAGAGATCCATATTTGTACCCATTACAAAGAAAGGTGATCCCACAGAATGTGGAAATTATCTAACAATACCAATATGACACTCAAGTAAAATCTTCCTGAATTCAAAAATAGCTGCAGCAGTGTACTGACAGGGAACTTCCAGAAATGCAAGCTGGATTCAGAAGAGGATGTGGAGCAAGGGATATTACTGCTGATGTCACATGGATCTTGGCTGAAAACAGAATGCACCACTAAAATGTTTACCTATTTTATTAACGAGACAAAGGCATTCGACTATGTGGATTGCGACAAATCATGGGTAATGCTGACAAGAACAGCAATTCTAGAACACTTAGCTGTGTTCACACGGAACTGGGACGCACCCAAGAATCAGTCCTTCAACGAAAACAAGGGGATACTTCATGCTTTATGATCAGGAAGGGTGAGCTCAGGGCTGCATCCTTTCACTTATTCAATCTGTATGTTGAGTAAACAATCCAAGAAGCTGGACTGTACGAACAAGTACACGGCCTAAGGATTAGAGGGACGCCCATTAACCTGTGATACACTGATGACACAACCTTGGTTGCTGAAAGTTACAATGACTTGAAGCACTTACTGATGAAGATTAAAGCCTACAGTCTGCAGTACAGATTACACCTCAACATAAAAGAAAACAAAAATCCTCACAACTGGACCAATAAACAGCATCAGGATAAATGGAGAAAAGAATGAAATTATGAGGGATTTCATTTTACTTGGATCCACAATCAACACACATGGAAGCAGCAATCAAGAAATGAAACAGTATATCGTATTGGGCAAATCTATTGCAAAGACTTTCTAAGTGTTAAAAAGCAAAGATGTTACTTTAAGGACTAAGGTGCACCTGACCCAAACCATGGTATTTTCATTGGCCTCTCATGCATGTGAAGGTCGACAATTCATGGAGAAGACTGAAGAAACGCCTTTGAATTACGGTGTCGCTGAAAGATCTGAATACACCATGGACAGCCAGAAGGAACAAATCTGTGTTGAAAGGACAGCCAGAGTTCACCTCAGAAGCGAGGATGGAGAGACTTTCTCTCACATACCTTCCATGTTACGAGGAGGCACCAGTCCTCAGAGCAGGACATCATGCTCGATAACGTAGGGACCAGCCCAGTGGCTCCAACGATGGGCTGAAGTATCGCGATGGCTATGAGGGTGGCAGGACCGATTAGCTCCGTGCTGCTGCGCACAGGATCACTGTGAGTCAGAGCCTACTCCACGGAACCTAACGACTCCACTGCCTGAGTGCTGGCTGCAGGCGCAAGGGTCTCTCAGGCTGCCCTCACTTCTACTTGGTGGCTCCCACAATTCCCTCAGGCCTGATAATTCGTTACAAATCAAAGAACCCAGTAAAGCACTAAACTTAGACTCTTATTGCAACGAAAAGGATGCAGACGAAGAGACGTGTGGGGCCAGGTCTGGTAGGGTTCTCAATGTCCCAGGTCTATCACCAACCAGGAAGCCCATGGAACTTTCATGTCCAGAGCTTCGACTGAGGCCTCACTTAAAAAAAAAAAAAAGTTGCCACAGTGTCAACTCCAACTCATGGCAACCTCACGCGCATTACAGGACTGAGCTCCATAGCGTGTGCAAGGATGGATTTTTCAAAAGTAGACTGGCAGGCCTTTCTTCCCAGGTGCCTGTGGATGGACCTGAAAGCCTCCAACCTTCCAGTCAGCAGCCAGGCGTGCCCTCCCACCCCCCGAGATTCCTCACGAGCAGAAAGCCTTTGGAGCCCTCCACAGGTCCTAGAGGTTGGAACTGACTGGATGGCAGAGGACAACAGTGAGGAACAATAACCCCAATACTCTGGAAACCCGAAAGGCTGTCTCAGGAACTGAGAACAAAAGCCAAACCGTTTTAGTAAAGTTAATGGCAAATCCGACACCAAGGTCAGACCGGCAAACAAGTAAATCAACTACCCTTAATTAACGAGAGCCTGGCCTCGGTTAGTAGTCACCGTTGTTGTCGTCAGTTCCCATGGAGTCAATTCTGACTCCACGAGGTCTGCAAGGCTGTGTGAGACCAGCTGGAGGCAGATCATGAGGCCTGTCTCCCAAGGTGCCTCTGGTGGCTTTGAACCACCAATGTTCTGGCTCGCACTCCAGCACTGGACTGTTTACACCATACAGGGGCTCCTCAGTGCTCTTTGAAGGGTATCTCAACACAGGTAACACTGTGCACCTGAACGTGAAAGCTTTACAAACTGCCAGAAAATGCCTGCTGAACTCAGCTTTTCACAGCAATCAGTAAACAAAACAAACACGTCTTTTTTCCTGTGGTAAGAAATGGCAACACCTCGTTAGCAGTGTGTGTGGAACCCTAAGAGCTTGCTTTAGTGACTCTGTTGGCACCATCAGTTAACGGGCTGCATCCACAGGCCGGCAGCTAAGTTCACCAAGAGGCGCCTCGGAAGCACGGCCTGAAGATCGGCTTGTGAACCGTCAGCCGGCGACAATGCATGGAGCACAGCTTTACTGACCATAGGGCCGCCAGGAGCCGGCATTAACACAGCGGTGACCAGCCTCAGTACTGACCGGTCTCAGTGGTGACCGGTCTGTCTCTGGGTTGCCACTATTTGTACACTAACCTGGGGTCTGGGCCCCTCACCTGTGCTGAAGCATCAGTCCCTTCACAAGCCAGGCCAAGCCCATGTCATGAGCAATGGTCTTCCTCCCTGAGCACTGGCGAGGAAGAGACACACAGGCCAGCTCCAGGCCAGCGGAGGAAGGGCTGCAGCCAGGTAACTAAGAAGCAGGAAGGCCTTGGGGGCTCCAGACAGAGGTGAGAAAGTGAAGACCAGGATGGGGCCCTCCGTGCAGGCCCCCACTGGAGCAGGAGACAGAAGACGGTGGCGACCCCAGGTCAGCTTACAGGGCTCCTTTTCCTACAGACCGAGAAGCCGCTCTGCCAAAGTTCTGATGTGAGCAAACAAGGGCTTTAAGTGGAAATGGTGAAAGTGGTAACACCAAGCAAGGAGAGAGGCTGGATTCCTAGCAAGGATAAAATGACTCAAGTATGTGGCAATTATATAAACTCACAACCAGTAACACTGCTCAGAACACTGACTGAGGGAACGTTAGGCCACCTGGGCAGTACATTCAGGCTGACTCTTCTATGCGAACCGCAAACACATTACCAAGAAGCACACTCAAGCAGACTAAGATTAAAATCCCAAAGAAACATCCAACACGAGGAAGCCTCCTTTACCTACCAGCTCAGGGGCTGGGGAACATCAACCTTCTGGCCATCCACCTCCAGGTTCTCCAGTTCCTTAAAGTACTTGCTCTTTAAACAATGCAGAATCTCCTTGGCGTGGCTGTTAAAAAAAAAAAAAAATCCACAAGTTTCACACTGGTCTGAAAAACGTAACGTAACAGCAAACCAAACACACTGCTGTCAAGTTAATCCCGACTTGCAGCGACCCCTATTGGGTTCCCAAGGCTATAAATCTTTACAGAAGCAGACTGCCTCATCTTTCTTCCACAGAGCAGCTGGTGGGTTCAAGCCACCAACCTTCAGGTCAGCAGCTAAATGCCTTTAACCAATGCACCACCACAGCCCTTAAATTTAACGCTGCTGCCATTGTTAGGTGCCGTCTAGCTCTCGTTAGTTAAGGGTAGTTGACTTACTTGTCTGCCTGTCTGGCCTTGGTGTCGGGTTTACCATTAACCCACAGCAACCCTGTGTACAGCAGAACAGAACACTGCCTGGTCCTGTGCCAGCCTCACAATCATTGCCATATCTGAGCCCATCGTTGCAGTCACTGCTTCAATCCATCTCATTGAGGGCCTTCCCCTCTTTCATTGACCCTCCACTTTACCAAGCATGATATCCTTCTCCACGGAATGGTTCCTTCTGTAAAGGGACCAAAGTAGGTGAGACGAAGCCTGGCCATTCTTGCTTCCAAGGGGCATTCCAGGTGCACTTCCTCCAGGACAGATTCTCCTTCTTCTGTCAGTCCATGACACTTTCTGTCTACTTAGCCAACACCACAGCTCAAAAGCATCTACTCTTCTCCAGTCTTCCTGGTTAGTCATCCAGCTTTCATACGCATATAAGGCGACTGAAAACACCTTGGCTTGGGCTAGGAACACTTCAGTCCTCAAAGAGGTATCTTTGCTCTTCAGCACTTTAAAGAGGTCTCTTGCAGCAGATTTGCCCAGTGTAATACGTCCGATGTCTTGACTGCTGCTTCTGTTGGCGTTGATTTTGAATTTAGTATTTTTTTCTGTCAAGTGATTTAAAACTAAAAGCAACCTAACGTGAAAGGAACCCACTCCTTCTTCCTCTTTCTACTGGTTTCCTTCCGAATACAAATGGTCCTCACTGCTAATCGCACTACTACTTCCTTCCCGCCTAAAACCACGGCACAAACCTTGGCAGCCAGAACACGTGTGAGGTGGAAACCTGTCACAGAAGTAAAACTCGAGCATTTTCCACTCAAACGAGCGATAGAAAAGGGGTAACAGTGCACCCTGTTGCAGGCAAAAAACATGTGAGAGCTGGAAAAACAAAGCAGGCCCCTAAGTCTTGGCTTTCACAGACTTCACTCTGCCTGCAAATTCACTTCACTTGCAACTCATGTGGGAGACGCAGTTACAGAGATTTATTTAGAGAAAACCAGAAGTTTTGTACAAAGTGCTATTGCTGTTAGGTGGCCTCTAGTCAATTCCAGCTTACAGTAACCCCATGCAGCACAGAGCTGCTCCGTATGGCTTTGTAAGCTGTAATCTTTGCAATGCATTGCACCTGGTTTTTCTCTCCTGGAGTCCTTGGGTAGGTTCGAGCCGCCAACCTCTCAGTTAGCAGTTAAGAGCTTAACCTCACATTCTCCTACATCCCCTAGAATTAGGCAGGGACCAAATATTTGGTCAAGATGTTTAGAGAGGAGCCAAACATTTCTCAGACTGCATTTTTCATTTCTTCCTCTAGGTTTCCGCCGGGCATTTGTGCTGAAAGGTGAAATTCTCACTTCTCAACCATGAACCGGTGCCGCAGCCCCCACGTGGCTGTCAGGGCAAGACTGGGCAGTGCTTCGATCGCCTGCGCGTTGGGTTGCCGTGAACTTGCAACTTCAGGTGATCCAACAGCTCTCTGACGTCTTTCCCTGAGCCCTTGCGCTTTCTCCTCGGTGCCCCCCGACGCCAGATCCACACAGCCGAGCGGCACTCTCTGGCACTGGCATTTCTGGGGAAAGATCCCTGGCATTCAGCTTGGCCGTCCCGAGCCCCAACTCCCGAGAAAACACGGCGAGGCCTTACCTTTTGTAACCTGTTATCCTCAAGGTGGCCGGGAGAGGTTCCCTAAGCGCCCCCATGAACTGCTCCCACTCTTCCTCAGGCACTATCTTCAGCTCCTGGTAGTAGTGCTCGAACAGCTTGTTCTCTTTGATGATCTCGGGGTACCCGCCTTCCCAGCCCTGAGGAAGGAGAAAAACATCACCTCAAGCACACGAGGGGCCGGCCCGCCGCTCCCGCGATCCCCTTGCAGGCCCCAGGGTCCCAGAGATCCACGCGGGGCTCGGGCCACCCTCGCCCGCCACTCGGCCCTACCGCCGCGCTGCGCTTCCGGCCGCGCTTGGTGGCATCCTCGCCGCCCTCGGATTGCTGCTGCTGCTGGAGCCGCCGAAACCGCGCTCGCCGCCCCATGGCTGCCCACGCCGCCCGCAGCACCCGCGCCACGCCGAGAGCCCCCGACTTCCGGGACTTTCGAGGCCCCGCGCGCCAGGGCCGCGTCCGTCCACGCTCTGCCGGGGATCCGCAGGAAACCAACCAACAGCGCTAAGACTCGTCCTTCTAGAACACCGCTGATAGCCCCGAGGGGGAAAGCGGCGCCAGACACAGACCCGGAAGCTGTCTTTGCTCGAAACGCCAAAGCTTCCCGCGCGGACTCAGGCAGCGCCACGGGCAGCCTGGCTTCGGAGCCACCGCGAAGCGGTGAGGCAGGCGGGCCGGAGGCGGGGCTTCAGCGCCTTGGGCGTGGCCCTAAGGCCCCGCCCCCGAGCCCCGAGAGTCCGCCCCCATCGTCTGGGCCCCGCCCCTGAGAACTGGTCACCGAACCCAAGGCCCCGCCCAGAGGCCGAGGCCCTACCCCCGAGCCCGGGGCCCGGTTCCCCAGCAAGTGACCCCACATCATAGCCCTGATTTCACGCTCCCGCCCCCGAGCCCTCAGCCTACTCTGAAGTCCTAGGCCCGGCCTCCAACCCCGAGGCCCTGCCCTTCTCCATCTAGGTCTCGTCCTTGTGCCCCACAGCCCAGCCTCCGAGCCCGCAGCCTCCCGTCGCGTCCCCGAGACTCTGGCTCCGCCCGCTTCTCAGAGGCCCCGCCTCCTGATCTCAGAGGCCCCGCCCCCAGCCCGGGTAGTGCTGTTTACACGCCCAACCTGTAGCTCCGGGACGGGGTTGGCTGGGCCGTGCGGGGCGGAGCTCGAGGGGCGTGGTCCGGCGCGCCGGAGGCAGGTGCTCAGCTACGCCGCCTTGCACGTGGCCCGCGCCGGTCCCGGGGACCGCGCCTCCGCCGCGCCGCCTATATGAGACGCCCCACGGGATGGAGCGCAGTCCCTGGCCATGGAGCTCGGCGAGCGCTGGCTGCTGGATGCGCTGGCCGGCCTGCTGGGCGTCTTCGGCTGCCTGGTCTTGGTGCTGGGTGGGCAGGTGGTGGGCTCGCCCTACGGCCGCTATTCGTCTCAGTGGATGGGCTGGCGCTTGCCGGCGCGGCCGGCCTGGGTGCTGCAGGAGCTCCCTTCGCTGGTCCTACCACTGCTGGAGTGCGCTCGGGGTGACGGCCACCTGCGCTGCTGGCCCAACGCTTTGCTGATGGCCATGTTCCTCGTGCACTACGCGCACCGGTAAGGGACGCCAGCGCCCCGCCTGCCCCGGTCCCCTGTCCCCGCAGTTACCCACCTCTGGGCTCCAGCACCCCTCGTGGCAGCTCCTTGGCGCTGCTGCCTGCGCCTCCCACGCCCCGCTGTCTCCCTAGATCTCCTGACCCCCGGGTCTCTCTCCGCAGCTACCTGCTTCTTTTCCCCAGCGCCCGCCTCCAGTCCCAGAGCCCTTTCCTGGGACCTCCTCGTCTCCCATCACTGGGACCTCTCCTTGGGCGCCCCTTTCCCTGACGAGCCCTCGCCAGCCAGCCCCCCAGGCCCCCCGTCACCCATCCCCGTCCTCCCAGCCCTCTCCCGACCTCGGGCATAGAGAGTTGCTTGAGAAATGAGATGCCCACCTATCCACCCGTTGACTGACTAGAACAGCCGGCATAGAGTTACTTAGACTGCTAAGCAGAAGGTTGGCGGTTCCAACCCATCAGCCACCCCAGGGGAGAAGGAAGTGCAGTCTGCTTCTGTAAAGATTGACAGCCTTGGAAACCCTCCATGGTACGTTTGCTCGTTAGGGAGCGGAGCACCAAACCTTTCCTCCCTTGGAGCAGCTGGCTGAGTTGGAACTGCTTGGATCAGCAGTCCGGCACTTAACCCTGGTGCCACCAGAGCTTTAGAAAAGACGGAAAGATTGCAAGGAAAAAAAAAAAAAAAATGTCTTGTTGGTTGGTTATTTATTTTGTAAATTGAAAGTGGAAAGTGCTACCTGTACCATATCCTGTACTTTGTGCCCTTAAATCAAGGTTGAAGATTATCCTGAATACAAAGCACCCTGCCAACGCTTTCAGGTGTTCCAGCCATGACGTTAGAGCCCCAAAGGCATTTGACTGCTAACCAGAAGGTTGGCGGTTCAAACCCATCAGCCCCTCCGGGGAAGGAAGGTGGAGCAATCTACTTCCCTAAAGATTTACTGCCTTGGAAGCCCAAGGGGTCAGGATCCACTTGATGACAGAGAGTTTAAGGTTTCAAGTTTTTTCCACGCATGGAATAATTTTCATTATCTTTGTCTTGGATGAAGTTGTCTCCTAACCAGACAATCCCGTTGCAACTTGGAAACCTGTTTCCCTGACAGTTTTGAAATCCCCATTGGGCTTGCAACTGCCTGTGGCTCTCAAAGATGTTCACTCCACATTATGCAAGGAGCCCCTAATTTCACTTACGCTTGTGTGGGTGATTCTGGGCAACCACCTTAAATGCTGAAACACTGTGAAGATGACCTCCGCATTGTTTGTGGTGCCTGTGAAGGTTTGGGAAGATGACTGCACCTCAAGGGTTTGGGTCCTCTACTAAGTGGGGGTGGGGGAGTGTCTGTCCAGCTCTGCCTGTGTCCTCTGGCCAAGGCCATTGTGTCTCCCACGGCTAGAACCAATGGCTGACTAAGTTTACAGTCAAACTTCAAGAATTTCATTCAAACTTCAAAAAGTTGGGTAGTTAAGAGGATCTGGGATCTGGGCTCCCCACAGTAGGAGCGTGGGTTGTTTACTTAACCTCTCTGGGCTTGGGTCGAACCTTAGAACGTCTGTTTCCCAGAGAGGTCAGAAGAATGTGTGTGAGAGCGTCTCTTTTCCCGTTGGAGTCTCGTAGTCCGATGGGAAGCAAGGTGAGCAAGTTTTGCATTGGCGGTGCCTGGGACAGTGCTGGGACCCAGTACAGTGCTCCGTTTCTGAGACCAGGACCCCAGTGCCATACCTGGCTCATTCCTTGTCCCCTGCTGTGCGTGACTCACCCCATCCACTTCCACACCGGCACTTTACAGAGTGACCAATCCCCCGTTCAACAAACAGTCAGTCGCTGGGGACCACGTTCCTGACTCAGCCTCTAATGAAGCGTGTCCCATTAACTTGGCCATGCCCAGCTAAAGTGGCCACTTGACTTTCTGTAATTGATGGAGTAGCAAGATGCCAGAGCCCACATCTGTCTGTCTGTCTGTCTGTCTGTTTCTCCAGTGGCTGATGGCAAGCTCTGAATTTCTGGGTCACACTCTCAGGTGCTCCCAAGCCCTGAGACTTGTAACCTGTAATCCCATGAGCCAGGTGAAGTTACAAAGCGGCCCTGCCCCAGTTTCCACATCTGAAAAACGAGCAGAAAGATGGTGCCGCCTTGTGGGGTGGGCTGGACCCTGAACAAAGATAACGAACTATCTAAGTGAACTGACTAAGATACTCGCGTGGCGCAGGTGCGGCGCCAGCTCCACGCCTGAGAAACGTCCCAATTTTAGATTGCCGTGCATCTGGGCACGCCTGGGAACATGCTCTACATGCCTGTGCCCACGCATACGGGGTTGCCAGCCAGCAGTGCCAGTCAGGACTTCCCGGAGGAAAGTGCATTTCTTGAAAGTCTGGAGTCAACGCTCTTTAAGCTGAGACATGCCGTCGGATGACCGTTGGCCCTAGGGCGAGGCCTAGGTGTGAGGGCTGCTCAGGGACTAGGCCAGGTGCGTTGCCTGAAGCCGTCGGGGGAGAGCCAGCAGCCCGGGCGGGAAGTCGGCTGGCTCGGGCAGTGCTGATTAAAGAGCTCTGGTAGCATAGTGGCTAAGACACTTGCCTGCTCACCAGAAGGCTGGCGGTTCAAACCCACCAGCCACTCCTCGGAAGGAAGGTTGGGCAATCCTACTTCCGTAGTGATACTGCCTCGGAAACCCAAGGAGGGGTCGCTATGAGTCAGGGCTGACTCGACGGCACATAACAACAACAACAACAACAAGTACTTTGCAGTTGTTGTTAGGTGCCCGGGGGTACTTCCAGACTCTCAGCAACCTGGGCACATTTCACTGCTCACCAGAAGGCTGGAGGTTCAAACCCACCACCCACTCCTCGGAAGGAAGATTGGGCAGTCAACTTCCGTAGCGATACTGCCTTGGAAGCCAAGGAGGAGCAAGTCTGAGTCAGATCTGACTGGATGGCAGTGGGTTTGGTTTTTTTTTTTTTTTTTTTTAGTCCTGCATCAGCCCCATGATCCCTGCTATGCCTGAACCCATCTTTGCAGCCACTGTGTCAGTCCATCTCATTGACGGCCTTCCCCTTTATCGTTGACCCTCCACTTTACCAAGCATGCGATCCTTCTCCAGGGAATGGTCCCTTCTTGGGACATGACCAAAGCACTCACTAAAAAAACTTCTTGTAACATGACCAAAGTAGGTGAGACAGTCTGGCCATTCTCACTTCCAAGGAGCATTCTGGCTGCACTTCCTCCAGGACAGATGTGTTAGTTCTGTTAGCAGTCCACGGTACTTTCAGCATTCTTCGCCAGCACCACAACTCAAAAGCATCAACTCTTCTTCGGTCTTCCTTACTCAGTGTTCAGCTCTCACGGTCATGTGAAGCCATGGAAATGACCGTGGCAGTTCTTTGGACTTTTGATTTTAGAATCACACCTGCAGCTATGTACATTGTCTGGCTTGGTTGAAGACCTTTGAACTAGTTGTGTTGCTAGGGGAGGTACAGGGATATGGATGACACTGGGTGGCACCAAAATGACTCACGATGCTGGTGGGCTAGGCCCCCTGTGGGCACCGTGGCACAGCTGGGCCGGGTGCTGGTGCAGGTGGAGGCGGCCGACAGGTGCCAGGGGCCCGGGGTGGTCCACAGGCTGCGTGCCTGCTGGGCCAAGGTAATATCACGTGACTAGGGTCAGTGGTACCACGGACCCCCAGGGGGTCTGTCACAGGAGAAAGTCGTGGCGGGGAGGGTGACAGCACGAGTAACCACACTGGCTGCCAGCCATCCCATGCTTTGGGCTTTCCGAACAAGAAAGATAAACATGTTCCATTCTATACAAGCAACTAATTTATTAACGGTCATCCGACCTCAGTCCGCAAGCCGGCCAGAGACAAGAGCCCTGGAAATACCACCTGTGCTTTGTATGAGAGTGAGCCATGTGGGGGTGGCGTGGTAGGAGGCCCTGCGGGTGCAGGCAGGCCGGTCAGAGAGAGGACCGTATTCCAGCCCGCTGGCACTGTTGGGCGGCAGGGGACACGGCGCCCGAGGGAGGGACATTCAGGCAAGCAAGGGACAGCTTCCTGGAGGTGGCAGGTGTCCGCAGAGGCTCAGCTCTGAGCTTAGGAGCAAGCCACGGCGCTGCTTGGGGGTGCGTGTGGCCTCTGAGGGTGCCCCAGCAGTGTGGGGACACAGAGGCGGCCACAAGGATACTAGGCTCCATCAGATGTTTGCACGGCGCAGGTGCAGTGGCACGCTTGATAAATGAGGGACCTCTCTTTTTTCCAGAGAAGTCTGGCTGTGCCAGAAGCGGTAATGGGACAGTGAGCTGGGGCCGAGGGGCTGAAGGGAGCTAAGTGTTTGCTCACACAATTGGGAAAGGGTGCGTTTGTAGGGTGATGCGCGTGCTGCCCAGCATGGGGTGGGGACAGACAGCTGTCTGTGAAGTCCAGGACAGAAGACGGCCCTGGAGGAGGCACTGGGTGCAGGAAAGCTGACAGACTGCAGGGGAGGGGAGCTCCGACGGCGAGGCCAGGCCCCCTCGTGGCCCCGGGCGCGGGGAGGACGTTTTCCATCCTGCCAGCGTGGCTGCTGCTTCACCACGGTGTTGGGCCATGTCTTCTCCATCCTTGGCTGCTCCAGGGCCTGGGACAGTGTCTGGGAGGCCACCTGTGACACTGCACCGTCGCTGCCTCCTACCAGCTCCCCTCCCCCCGCAGTCACCCAAGGCCCCAGACCTCATTTCTCACTTTCTTTTGTAAGCCCTCCCCTCCCCCACTGCCCTTCTGGGCACTCAGGGTGACACTGTGGTCACCACAGCTTTCCCTGTACGTCACCTACACACACACAACACAGCACACACAGACACACAGCAACATACGCAACACACACAGACACCCACACAACACAACACACACAGACACACACGCAACACACACAGCACATAGACACACACACAACACACAAAGAATACAACACAGAGGCACACACACAACACAGCACACACAGACACACATGCAACACACACAACACGACACA